TGCATTCGGGCCGTCAAGCAGCTCCCCGTCGGCGGGCGCGCCCCTCAGACCCTGGGATCCGACGATCACGACCAGGATCCTGGACCCCAACTGTCTGCTACACTTCTCTGGCCGGATCGATATGGGAAGGCGGGGCCCGAAGCCTGGCGAAAACACCTGGGGCACAAAAAAACGGCGCCGGGATATCAGAGTCAGACGGCCAGTCAGAGCCCAGCCCACTGGCCAGGCCTCCACAGTCAGAACAGCCGCAATAGGCCCGTCTGGCCCAGACAGCACGGCCAGCCCAGGGGGCCCAGACAGCCCAACCCAGCTTTTGGCTCCTGGCTCCTGATGGCTGGATGGTCGTTCTGACGAAGCCCACTCAACCCTGTTCCGCAGGGCTGGCGTGTAATCTGGCGCCACGAACCGAAAGGGGCTTCCCACTCCTTGTTGGCTTGAGCGGCCGCCCGCAACGCAGAATCCCCACTGGCTCTGGCTTCGCGAAGCCAGTCCTCTGCTTTCAGCACCCGCATCGAGCACGTTCCCAACCCCGCCTGAGCCCGCCTGCACTCCACGCCACTTCGTCTTCTTCGAGCAACGGTGCACGGGTAAGTATCTAAGGAGCCTCCACCGCGCGCAACCACTTCAGCAAAGGAAGAGACAGGAGACCAAAAGGAAGGAGAGGATGAGGACGCGGAGGGCAGGCAAGAGGAGAGGGAGGAGGAGGACGCGGAGGAAGACGGAGGAGAGAGGTTCGGAGGTCGTGGACTCGCGCGTGCCACGTATAGTGCCCGTGCACCAAGGCATCGGGTGCTGCCCGAGGGGTCCCTGGCCCGAGGTGTCCATGGGACTTCCTGGGAGGCCCTGATGGCCTCCAGAGCACCCCTCGCGAGGCCCAGAGGGCCCCCGGGGCCCCACGACGATGCGAAAAAGCCAGAGGAGACACCTTGGGCCAGGGTCGCCCGTGCCGGAGGATCGCCAACTGAGCCAACGGCGCCTCTCCCGCCCGGCCCACGTCTGCAGATCTTCCCACCCAGGAGGGAGGAGGAGGAGGAGGAGGAGGAGGAGGAGGAGGAGGAGGAGGAGGAGGAAGGAGGAGGAGGAGGAGGGAGAGGGGGAGGAGGAGGAGGAGGAGGAGGAGGAGGAGGAGGAGGAGGAGGAGGAGGAGGAGGTACTCAGACTCGTTGTTTGTCGTCAAGGGGGTCAACCTGTGAGGCCGAGAGCGCCTGGATTCTCTTGGGCGCACCTCTGGAGGCTCGTTTGGGATAAGCTCGAGGACTGGGGAGGCGGTATGCAGGTCCTGAAGGTCAAGTCCCACGTATCTCAGAGGCAGGTTCTTGAAGGTTTCCAGTCGTACCGCCTCACCTTCGGCAACAAGTGTGCAAATGATTAGGCCAGAGCCCGTGCTTACGATAGACGACCACCTCATGCGCTCCAGCAGCTCGCAGTACAGCATCAGAAGCTTGTGCGAGGACTTGGAGTGTGGATGGCGCAAGTCGGAGCCGTGCTAGCTGAGACTGACTGCCTGCATCGTGTGAAGAGGCCACGCAGTGATGCCCCTCCCTCAATCAAGCTTGTCGAGACCCAGCCGCCCTCTTTGCCAGAGTTGCCCTGTGTTAGGTTTCTCTCCTGGCCAGGGGACTTAAAGCTCATCAGCTTTTTGTTGTTTCGGTCCCGACCCAGCCGAACCATACCCAGGTTGTGTGTCGTGGGAGGTGCGGGGTGCTTGCCTCCCGTAGGGTCGTGCCCCTCCTGGAGCCCTGCCCCCCGAAGACCCCGAAGTGGGCCAAGACCATCTTGAGCCGTCTGGAGCGTCGTCAGTTCAAGCTAAACGGTGTCCTGCACCGCGTTTCAGACTTTCGGCGGCTGCTGCCGCCCACGGAGGGTGCGAGCTCGAGCAGTGCAGCCGGCGCCGCCGAGCCGCCCCCAGGCTTTCTCGATGCGCCTGCTCCCTCGGATTGACTCTCGTCTCGCGGGGGGCTCTCGTTTTGCCGCTCGATGCCGAGTCCTGCTCGTGTCGATCGGCCGCTGCGCCTCGGCCCTCCCGAGGCTCGCCCGATGTATGCAGCTGAAGGCGGGCGGTTGCAAGGTGCGACGTCAGCTGCATAGTCCTCCGCGGGAGGTGATAGACCTAGGGCTCCCAACTTCGCGCTTCGCGCTGCGCGAAGCGCGAAGCGCGAATAACTTCGCGCTCTCGCGCCGCCCTCCCAAAGGGAGAATAGGAGGACGAGGAGGAGGGGGAGAAGGAGCGAGGACCGCGAAGCGCGAAGCGCGAATAACTTCGCGCCCTCGAGGGAGCCTTGGTAGACGCTGCCGTCGCCTCTGGGCTGTGCCCAGGAGGAGGAGGGGCCCGTCCCGACCCGTTTTTCGACGCGGGCCCAGCCGTGGCGGCGAGCAGCCTCTAGGACCAGGGAGCCCACAGAGGACGTGCGCGCCCAGCTGTGTACACGAACACGGCCCCTCGACTCGCGAGACCGGCCGCGTTGTACGAACATGTGTGCAGTGCGTGCTCTCGAAACCAGCGTGGATTCATGTACATGCACGTCCTTCTTTCGCTCCGGATGGGAGGCCCCCCGGGCGCGAAGTGCTGCGGGGGCGACGCACGTGGGGGGGGAAGAGAGGTGCCCCTCTCGGGCCACCAGGGCCCCTTTGGGGGCCCGGGGGCCCCACAGGGCCCCTTCCAGGGGCCCTGGAGGGCCCCTTTTCGGCAGCCCTCGCTGCCCTCCCACGCATCGCCCCCCTATTGCGCGCCCCCCGAGCTCGAGTTGGGGATCGTCCACAAAATTGATGTACCCCAGAATCGATTTCCCCAGTCGGATCTACGACGACTGCGTCGAACATTCCCAACTCGACTGAGAGTTCTGAATAGTTCCCGTAGACATCACGAGAACATACTTTGGGGGTAAATACATATTGTAGTCGATCCCCTACTCGACGAACCCAAGAATGACGAACAAGGCACCGGGGAGGGCTGCCGTCGTGGCCTCGCTCGGCCCCCCCCTCTCCGCCTCCCTGGCCGCCCCCGCGGGAGAGAGCACGCGCTGGCGCATCCGAGGGCGAGAGCACGGGCGCCTCCCCCTCCAGCTCCGCCAGCGCCGCTGCAGACCTGCGCGCGGCCTCCCCGGGTGGCGGGCGGGCGCGGCGGCGGGCGGCGGCGGCGGCGGCAGCGACGACGACGACGACGACGACGACGACGACGACGACGACGACGACGACCGCGGCAGGCGGCGGGGGCGACGGCGGTGGCCCGCGGCCGCGGCATCGTGGCTGTGCCGCGCGGGGCCGCCCCGCTCTCTCTCTCTCTCTCTCTTTCTCTCTCTCTCTGCGGGAGCGGCGCCCGTGCACCGCACCATGCCTGGACTCCTCTCGGGCCCCACTCCGACGCGGTGCGGTGCACAGTTGTTCGGTCCTCAGGGCCGAAGACCTGCAGTCGGACTTCATTGGACAGGACACGCGAGAGGACAAAAGACCCTTCCGAAGGCCACACTGCCGTAGGAATGCAGGAGACACGGGTCGCGAGACACAGGACACAAGGGTACCCTTGATTTGGCAGGGTCGACCTACTAATTCGGACCGACTGTATGCACCGTGCCACTCCTGGGTCGAGAACCGACGACGCCTCGAGAGGAGCCAGCGCGGCACGGTGACCAAAAGTCGTCCGAGGACTCTCCGCGCCCTGGTCGGAGCACCCCTCGCGAGGATCGTACCCCACGGGGGGCCCCAGGGCAACCAAGAGGTACCAATACTGCTACTCCCTGGACCTCGCCTTGGGGCGCGTTCTGACCAGAATGTCGAGGCGAATCCAGCGGTGGCGGCGAGGACCTCCCAGGAGACCCAACAAGGCGAAAACGAGGGAAGGGTAGCGGTATGGGCACCCTTTCATCCTTCACGTAATCATCCGCCTCCTCCTCATCCTCCTCCTCCTGCTTCTCCTCCTCCTCCTCCTCCTCATCATCATCATCATCATCATCATCATCATCATCATCATCATCATCATCATCATCATCATCATCACCACCACCATCACCATCATCATCATCAGCAGCAGACATCATCATCATCATCATCATCATCATCATCATCATCATCATCATCATCATCATCATCATCATCATCATCATCATCATCATCATCATCATCATCATCATCATCATCATCATCATCATCATCATCGTCATCGTCATCGTCAGCATCATCATCATCATCATCATCATCATCATCATCATCAGCATCGTCATCATCATCATCATCATCAGCAGCAGCATCATCAGCAGCATCAGCATCATCAGCAGGAATAACCATACTCATCATCAGCATCAGCATCATCAGCATCATCATCAGCAGCAGCATCATCAACAACATCGTCATCATCATCATCACCACCATCCTCAGCATGATCAGCAGCAGCAGCATCAGCATCAGCATCATCTTCATAATCCCCAGCATCAGCATCTCCATCATCATCAGCAGCATCAGCATCATCATCATCATCATCATCAGCAGCAGCAGCAGCATCGTCATTGCCATCATCATAGCCATCCTCATCCTCATCCTCATCCTCATCCACATCATTTCATCCTCATCCTCATCCTCCTCTTCATTCTCCTCCTCATGCCTCATCTCCTCCTCCTCCTCCTCCTCCTCCTCCTCCTCCTCCTCCTCTTCAGCCTCCTCCTCCTCCTTCTCCACGTCCTCCTCTTCCTCCTCCTCCTCCTCCTCCTCCTCCTCCTCCTCCTCCTCCTCCTCCCCCTCCTCCTGCTACTCCTGCTCCTCCTCTGACTGTTAGGAGCACTCACCGCGAGGGCCGTGCCCCACGGAGAGCTCCAGCTGCAGCACCAGCGACGGGGGACCCGATTCGAAAAGGATTGCATACCTCGCTTGCGCGGTCTGACGGGGCCTTCTGCTTGAGCAGGGACCGACCGTCCCGGCATCCCTATAGGCCTAACGACATGATCCTAGAACTCAGAAGTGTTCAAATTGCAAGACACTGTCCTTAGAACAGAAGCCCGACGCACTAAAACAAGACATTCTCAGCCAGAAATGTAACAAGAACATGTTGTGCAGGCCAAAATCAGGTTCTTAGAGCACCTTCTGGTGGGCCGACAGGCAGGCCAGGACGTTTCGACACCTCTCGATCTGCCGGCCGGCTTCCGACGGCGGAGGCGCCCTCATGTTATACGCCGGCCAGCTGTCGCGACGAGGGCGGGGTGTGCCACAGGCGAGGCTCTTTCTGGAACCCCCGTCTGGGAGGCGGTGATTTGCACGTGTCCTCCGCATGGGAACCGACGTCCTGGTGCCCCAGCGGGCGGTGGGTCTAGACATATGTTGGCCCCCATGGGCCCGAATCGATTCAAATCCACCGCCTGTGGAGGTCCGCGACGATCGATCCCTCAGGAAGGTGGTTATGGATCCTTCCCGCCTTGAACCTGCTGGTTCCACGCTCATTTCGACGCACACCTCACGAGGATCGTGCCCAACAGAGAGCTCAAGCTGTGTACAACTCGTGCGAGGGTGCGCGCATGCCCTCGAACCAGCTGGGCGTGCCTCATTTCTCTATGTTCGATGACAGGGGCGACCTGGACCAAGCCAGCAGGAACCAGCGAGGCTTAGGAAAGGGTCACGCCTCCGCGCTGGAAACATACCGATCCAAATCTAAAGGAGGAGGAGGAGGAGGAGGCGCCATAGGGGGGGAGAGAGAGAGAGAGAGAGGAGACTGGTAGGTGGGGAGAAGCGCCAAAACTTGGCCGCCCAAAAGGCGGGGGTGCACGCCTGCGCCTGCCAAGCTCAGCACCAGCGTGGCTTGGCAGACTTGGAGGAGAGGAGATGGAGGGGGGAAGGGGAAGGTTGAAGGAGAGCGGAGGCGGGGAAGTAGGAGCAGGGGTAAGGGAGCCACAGGGGGAAGGGAGCCAGGCGCAGAGGGCGGGGCAAATCCGCGTGCTCTGGGCAACTCGTGCTGCCATGACGCAAAACTGGCAGCTGCCCACTCATGACATATGATATGACTACTGCACAGAAGGTTGGAGGTTGATTCAAGTGGGTCCTGCAAACCTTGGTTCGCCACGCTCACCCACCCCCTTACCCTCCCAATTTCATCTCATCATTATCATGCCAGGAAGCTGTGGCCATAGAGGACTGTAGCACAATAGCAGCCGACAGGTCGGTGACAAAGCGACTAGCTCCTCTTGTAGAGGTACCTGGAAAGCTCCGGGTCGCCGGAAATGTCGTCCTCCTCGCCCCAGAAGTCCTCGGCCTTGTCCCCTGCACCGCGGCCCCTGGGCTCGGCGGCTTTGGCGATCACGTTGTGAATGTACGCCACGGCGCGTTCGACGTTGCGCTTCTCGCCAACGACGACGACGTTCCTGTTGGGGGTCTCGTCGCGAGGAATCCTGACGCGCACCTTGTAATTCTTCTCAGTGTGTCTCAGCTCGGAGCCCGCCTTGCCGATGATAAACCTGTAGTTCCACTCCTCGATCTCCAGCTCCTCGTGCACATCGCCGGGATGGGTGATCTCGTGGTGGTAATACATCACGATGTCGTTGATTACCTCCTTGGCCTTCTCGACATTTTCACCCTTGCCCGCAATCGTGACCATTGTTCTCTTCGGACCAGACCCAGGCGGCCCAGAGCTTTTGGGCATCGTGATCTCCACTTTGAGAGCATCCTTGACGGCCCGAATGATGCAGCCCTCCTTGAGAAGAAGAGCAAGAAAAACTGCACAAGCAGAAACTCTCGAAGGTCCGAAAGGATTACTTGGATCGGCGCTGGACCCCCTCCCTGGCGCGCTCCGCGAGCCAGGGGCGGAGCTGCAGGCGCCGACACGGGGTTCCAGCGCGGATCAGAAAACAAATCCGAGCGGCCCTCGAAAGTCATCTGTATGCAGTTGCTTCTTTCGTCAATCCTTGCCGATGAGGTCGGGCAGGGCGTTGGTGGGCACCTTGACGGCGTCGCTCTTGAAGTTCTCGTAGGACAGGGAGGTGAAGCCCTTGGCGACCAGCTCCTCGAAGGCCTGCTGGGCCTGGGCCACGTTTTCCGGCTTGCCCTCGATGCGCAGAATGCCGCCCTCCAGGTTGATCCGCCACCGCGCCTGCGCGGCTGCGGCGTGCCACAGTCTGGGCCCCTGGCCTCGCGCATCGCGCCCTGCGCGGCGCGGCGCGCGACTCGCCTCCCCGCGCCCAGTGCGCCCTCTCCCGCCCTGCGACGATCTTCGCGCCCCCGCGGGTGACCTGGAGAGTGCTTGTTGGTTGTCAGGTAGGGCCCCCGTGGTTTTCCAAGGCCGACCCCCCCCCCTCTGGTAGCACGCGTGGTCAGGAAAGGGCCCCCCTCTAGCTCTGCTCCTCAGCGCCCTGCTCGGTCTCCAGACGACTACCCCAAAAGAGCCCTAACCGTCCAAACATGTGCAAGACGCCCCAAGGCCGTCCCCAAGACGGCGCTACGAGCTCCCGAAGGGCCCAAGAACCACTCAGGATGCTCCAAGGGGCCTTTAGAAGCCTCCTCGGGAAAGTGCCAGAGAGCCCTAAACAG